CCCGTTGCCCATGGGTTTAACAGAGGGAACCCCAAGCTCAAAATATAAAATACCCCATGGCATGCTGGATCAACATCAATAGCATTAAGCTTGACACAAATGCCCGTGACTTTGTCCTCAAAGTGGCTTGCAAAGTGGCACAGCAGGTATTCCAGGGCTCCAAACCACCCTCGCCTCCAACAGCATACCTTCTTCTGTCCGTGATTTGTCATGATCGAGGCATCCTGTCTTCCACCCCCGTTATTTCACCTGGGACATGCTGTTGTTTTTTTTTTTAAAAAAAAAACCACCCAGACTGCCTATTCTGTACCTCAGCGGTGGGGTACGTTTGGCCCATGGTCCTAATTAGACTTGATAGGTCTGCCTAGTTGGCACATCATGCTATTTGGCACCTGCCCTACATCTGACACCTGGTATGAGGCAGGTAAAGACATGGCTGTGCCAAAATGGGTTTTGCAGGCACAAATAAGCAGCTGAAAGATGGCACCTGCAAAGCCTTGCAAACTTGGCTTTGCAACCGCTTAAAGTCAGCCGATCATCACATTTGGCAAGGGCTTGCAAAGCACTTTTTATGGGGCTTCACAAGTACAGTTGGCTAATCATCAGGTCTTATGGCCCACTGTGGACCAGGATTCACAAAACTCAACAATCAGCTGATTTGTCAGCACTTTGCGGTCTGTACATTTGCATCTTTTTTTTTTAAGTCACCAGATATCATGGTGGCATCAGCTGATTGACAGGTGGGCAGGTCTACCCGCTGGATCCACTTCCTTCCTCCCTTCCCTTCTCTAGTTGGTATATTTCTTATCCGTATAGGGACAAAGTGCAGCAGCTGGAGTGCAAATAGCATAAGTTTGTACAGTACCCATAGCTCTATTTAGTGCTCAGGCAGTTTCAAAAGTGCAGCTAAAGAGCATATTTCAGGAGTATTTGGTGTGGTGTTTTTATTTTGTTCATTACAATAAATATAGCAGTGTCTACAAGACAGGCGCTATAGGCATCATAAAATGCAAACAGACTTTTGTTTATTCTGCATAACTAGCACCTAGGCCAATTTAACTACAGTGGTACCTCTGGTTACATACTTAATTCTTTCTGGAGGTCTGTTCTTAACCTAAAACTGTTCTTAACCTGAAGCACCACTTTAGCTAATGGGGCCTCCCACTGTTGCCGTGCCGCCGGAGCACAATTTCTTTTTCTCATCCTGAAGCAAAGTTCTTAACCCGAGGTAATATTTCTGGGTTAGCGGAGTCTGTAACCTGAAGCGTATGTAACCCGAGGTACCACTGTATTTATTGCAACACTGACTCAGTATTTCAGGGATGGGAAACCCTTTTTAAAAATACCCGAGAGTCACATTCCATTCTGTGCAACCTTCTGGAAGCCTTCCTGCCATCTGAGGCAGTTGCTTCACCTGACATCATGGGTGGACCATCACTTCTTGGTAGATGATGCTCAGATTCGAATCCCCTGTTCTGATACATTCAGTATTATCAGTGACAAAAATAGGAATAGCTTATGAAGTTTCAGGATCTGGTGCTGTCTTATCCTGCAGATTATGTGTCTGTGTGTAGATAGATAAACAGACCAGAAGGTGGGCATATAAGTGTTTCTGCACAGATATACTAGATTTGTAGCAAAACTTTGCAATTATGATAAGAAACATTTTCATGTTGTTTAACATTTATTTTTAAGTATCCTGAGTAGATATATTGTTTAAGGTATATTTATCTGTGCATTGAATAGTTGTTTACTAATGCGTACTTATCAACATTGACATATGTATGTATAAATAAACAAATATGAAATGGAAAGAAAAGATGTTTCCACTGTAATTGCACTGTTAACTCGGTAGCTTTCAGAACGGTCACTTGAGGAATTACCCAAATCCTGTTTATGAAACGGAGGTGAAGTCTTTCCAGATTAATTATATTCAGCATGTAATTTCTAAACTTCACTCTGAATTTTGATTTTCAATTAACATTCCCAATTTGAAGATAATTTTCTATTTAATGTAATTGCAGGAAATAATTTATTGGCTGATTAAGACCGAGAGCCCAGCCTTCCTTAAGAAAACACCCCCTAACAAACCAGCCTTTAAAAGCCATCTCATAGCTTTGGACAGATTTAACCTATTTTCACAGCTGCACAGTTGCATTTAATTAGGATTGTGCACTGTTATTCATTGGTGCAGTTTGTAGTTGGAATTATTCTTAAGAGACATTTTCATTTCTGGGTTTGTGTCATGATTAATTTAAACTGAAAAAAGCAGCCAGAGCTTATTCCTTCTGGAAGAAGTCAGCCCTGTTTGTAATTGGAAGATGCCTGTGAATGCTCAAGTGAATAGAATCGTCTTCTAAGAACTGTTTTAAATGCACCATTGCCTTAAAACCACTGGAGATTTATTCACAATTGTACTGTGCTGGTAATCAGAATAGTGTACATTTAGCTTTCATGTTTAAAATAAGGTGGTATGTCTTGCACACTGATGCCAAATATTTGTCCTGACTTATCCCTTTCCAATGTCAGGATCCTGTGACTGCAACACTAATGTAATGGTTAAAATATCCTGCAGTAGTTAGAATTTGAAACTGGAGAATTATTTTTTTTTTGTCCTGACTGTTTGAAATAAACCTCCAGGATTCAGCTATTTTGTTAGTTTAGTGTAGTACATACAGTGATAACATCAAGATAATTCTGGTCATTGACAGTACTTTGGTTTGCACTCACAGTCTAAAGGTCAGCATTAAAATTATTTGTAAGGTTTGTGGTTGTTATGATTATTATTGCATAACAGGTATCACTGTTTTGATATGTTTCAGATTTATGTCAAACAGCCTGTAATACTTCTATTTTAAAATGTATATAATTAGATTAGCTGAACCAATAATAATTTTGTTCACTGTAGGATACTAAATCTGATTCTTCTCATTAATTGTGAGAAATTTAGCCTTAGCTGTTAAATCCTATGTGAAACTTGGCCTGTTACATTAAAAACTACTGTTTAAATTGGAATTAACTTAATTATTTTTCTTTACACTTGATATTTCCTTCACTGTAATATTCATGAAAGCATGTGTCAGATCTGTAAATTTAACTGTTAGTCTCAGATTTCCATCCTCTTTAATCAGTAATTATTTGTCTATAGAAACAGTACTACTGAGTTAATGATTTGCTAATTTGAAAAATGCTCATGTGGTTTCCTCTGTTAACTGATTTGCGCATTTTTAAGGAAATGGTATGAAATCAATTATTATTAAAGAGTAATTAAGGTGGAAACCTCATTCTTGAGTTATTGATGCAGTTTTCGTAATAAAGATATTCTAAATTTTCTTAAGAATATCTTAAGTATATGTCCCCATTAATATATTTGAACTGTTAGTTTACCTTAAGAGTGTCTTCTTGTTTCTTCATAAATTAACATTTTTTTATTTTCTGTTTTTATTGAAATAATTATTTTTGAACATTATCATGAGTCTGCTTCTGTGGAAAAAGGCTTAAAAAGATAATATCAAATATTCTTCTTAGAATAAAGCGGAGATTTTAAATGCATACCTTTCTTTATCATTGATCCAATACATTTGATTGTATTCCAAATTCTTTGCTCCTTGTAGCAAAGGAACAATATGAAATAGAAAACTATTTTAGAAACTTAATTTTTAGAACACAAGTAATGCAAACTTCAAGAGGCAGATTCTTTATTTATTAATTATGCTCTACATAGGGCTTATTTGGAGCAGCATAGATAGTAGCTTATAGATTCTGTTTTGCAAGGGGAGCACATTCCATAATCAAGTGATCAGTGGCTTTCTGGCTTAATTGTACAAATACTCAAATAGGCAGTTCTCACATGCTCACTTAAATTAGGAGAACATGCAGGAAAAACCTTTGGGTTGTGAGGAAAAACTGTGTATTTACATTAGGAGCCTTTATGGTATCAAGGATAGGAGAAATCACATACCTCTGGTATTTCAATATGATTATTCTGGCTGCACCAACCACTTCCTTCTCTGGGTTTAAGTCACAGAGGACTCACTTGTTTAAATCTGAAATTCACATGAAAGATGAGAACTTAATCCAGCTACCCCAAATTCTTATTTTTGCAGTAGTGTCTTGATCAGGGGTCAGGAACCTTTTTCAGCCGTGGGCCGGTCCACCATCCCTTAGATCTTCTGGGGAGCTGGACTATATTTTGATTTTTTTAAAAAAATGAACGAATTTCTACACGCCACAAATAACCCAGAGATGCATTTTAAATAAAATCACACATTCTATTCATGTAAAAACACGCTGATTCCCGGACCGCCCGCGAGCCAGATTGAGAAGGCGATTGGGCCTCATCCAGGCCCCCAGACCTTAGGTTGCCTACCCCTGGTCTTGATCAAGGCTTTGTTAAGGTGAGGGATGCTCCTTGATCCATCTTTGTCACTAGAGACCCAAGTGATGTCAATGCCTAGGAGTGCATTTTGCCAGCATCAGCTGGTGTGCCACTACAAACACTAATTCTTTCCTTTGATATTGCTCCTGGGCTCTTGGCAAACCGCACTTAGTTTAGGGATATGATGGTAAATTAGTTTTGGACACGGTAGCAATAATAATAATAATAATAATAATAATAATAATAATAATAATAATTTATTTATACTCTGCCCATCTGGCTGGGTTTTCCCAGCCACTCTAGGTCCCCAACTACCTAGACCAGCTTGTAAAACCCTTTAAGGCTTCAGTGCTATGCATGCTTATTTGGCAGTAGCTCAACTGAAACATGTAAAGAGTCACTCTGTAGACCATAATAATAATAATAATAATAATAATAATTTTATTATTTATACCCTGCCCAACCCAGCCACTCTGGGTGGCTCCCAACAGAACACTAAAACCCTATGCAAGCAAAAGACCTCTCCCTATTTTGACTTTATTTTTTTCCTTTTGTTGTATTTGCAGCCTAGTCTTTAAATTTAATAGAATGCATCTGTGTGTTTCCTTTTCTTATCTTGTAGAAGAATGTCTTCCAAGCAGGCCACCTCTCCATTTGCAGCTGATGGAGAGGAAGCAACAACCCAGGACTTAGCATCACAGGAGCAGGAAGAAGGCAACAATGAAGAGCTTGTGGCTTCCCATCTGCCTCTACACACCCTATTGCACAACAAACCTCACTCCGAGGAGCTACCAACTCTAGTCACTACAATCCAACAAGACGCTGACTGGAACAGTGTTATCTCAACCCAGCATAGAATGGTATGTCCTAAATCTGTGACAACCTTTGGAGTGTTGCTTTAGGCAACTCTTCTTAATCATGATATTTTCAAACTGAAATGACACAGTGCGTAAGAGATCAATGTCAGTAAGCTAAGCAGTTCCTCTTATATGTATACAGGTCTTCTTGAATGAAGTCATGGGATTAGTTCACCGCCAAAAGGAAATTGCCCCTGTTTATCATCATTTTCTTTCCGTCTCCTAATTTAAATCTTGGCATCTTTCACCTTGTATTGTGTTTGTGGTCATGGCTATGAAGACTCTGTCAGTGATGGCTGAGCTAATATACTTGAATGTAATGCTAATTTCTTCAGGGAACTAAGCAGCTTCCACCAGCCTCCAGATGCTTGGACTACAGCTCCGGTTGTCTTTGACTATTGACCATACTGACTGGGAAGGTAGAAGTTGTAGTCTAACACCTGGAGGTTAGAAAAGGCTGTTCTAAAATGTATTTGAGCTCATCAAAGCTAATTGCCTCTTTCCCAGTATGAGATCTTATTGCCATGATAAGAGTTCCACCCCATTCACCATGCAGATAACGTCATGTCTTGTTTGGTTTCACAACTCAGAACACCATTACCCCTGCCATAGACCACAGATGTCAGCCTCTAATGACTGATGTGTTGTTCTTTTAAGTTCATTGGTTTCAGACCTGCCAGTGGAGTCCTGCACTGCAGAGGTGACTCTTGTCTCACCTACCTTCTTTCCAGGACCAATGATCAAGCACCTTAAATAATGTAATTTTTACTTGGCAATGAAGAGTAGAGAATGGCAAAAGCCATGTTATCTCCTTCACATCCCTCATACTTATAATTGGACTTTGGACAAAAGCACCCAGTGCTTAAATGGAGGGCATCTCTCTAGAGCGGCTTGGTTAACACAATGAAACTTGTATAAAACATATTGAAGGAACATTCTTTCAGGCTGCATGTGACACATCAGTTTGTGGAAAATTATTTCTATCTCTTTGTTAATCTGCAAACTTCAGATACACAGCAGCAGATGTGCTGATAGTTGGATAAAATGTGTCCCCTCCCCATAATTGTGAGAGAACTCCTAATAGGATTCCCAGACCTGCTGTGTTCCCCCAAGGTACAAACTATCTACTCAGGCTGTGTGATGAGAGAAAAATGTGTCCCTGAAGCCAGGTGTTAGGAGCTTAAAAAATTAAATGTGATCAAACATATATCTTATACAGTAACTGAACCTTTTATGTTCTTTGAAAAGTGGAGAGAGGAATAGTAAAGAACTCAAAAGGAGATGGGATGGGGGTGGTGGTGTGGCACTGAATCTACATTTCAATGTATTTGCAAATCTTCATCCAGATTTACTTCTCTTTTTCTGGGGGAGGGGGTGGGTGGGACGCAACATCATGTCAATACTTGTTGTTCCGTCAAGAAGCTGAAACAGCCACAAGTTACTCTCCCATTATCAGATTTCTGAAACAGGTGCATGAACTTTGCTCGAGTGACTTAGCTTTCTGGTTTCACTTTTCTTGTTTCTGAAAAATACCCCAGCCTTCTTGGATAAAGTTCCTGAAAATCATTAGTAGTTAACCACATGTCCCTAAGGAGAGATCCAGAAGGCTGTACATAATTCTTCACCTAAGTGAGGACGGCCTGTGTGTGGTAGTAGTTGGTCCTAAGCAGAAACTGAATTCCTGAAGCTTACAGGGGGAAAAACAAAAATCATGTCGCTTGAAATTATAAATGTCGATCAGTCAGAAAAAGTGGCCGATATCTGAACTGATGGGGAAATACAACAGCTTAGGGATTGACTGCAGCATTTAACCTTCAATTGACAGGTGGGATCAAATACACCCTGACATGGGGTGGGGTGGGGGGAAATGCATAAAAACGTTTGTGTTGGTCTTCCACAGTTCCAGGTATTCCTTAATCATGGTGAGGTGTGAATTGCCATGTAGTGTTTCAATGGCTCTCCTCGGAAATCTGATTGAAAATTGATGTTTTTATTCTTGCAGCTTTTGGGGTCAATTCTACTTCTCTTACAATGGCAGAAACAACTTAAAAACCATTCACACCAAATGCTAGAGGGGTGTCAAAGTGACACTGAAAGGTGGTGTTTATCTTCATGTCTATCGTGCTTAGCCTAGAGCAAGGAGCACAGAGAATGAGAAAACAATACCTTGTCATTATACATGTTATTAAGGGCCAGTAGTACCCAACAGGTTTACAAAACCCCTTTACAAATCTGAATTATAAGAACATTTTCCCCAGTTATAATCTTCCATGTCTGACAGCAAATTTGAATTTATTTATTTTTAATCATAGCTATCATTTTGTGCAAGACTTACAAATTGGGATTTTTGGGTCACTGCAACCCCAACTGCATTTGCAGATGTCTGCAAGCAACCTCAAAAACCTGTACATGTCCACTTTTTTCTGTTTACAGAAATATCTTTACAAAATGTCTTGCTCAGGGTTGCCAGACAGCCCCAGCAGCTCAAAACCTACCACAGACAGTGATTGAGAAACCAGCAACACATTTAAAGGTTTCTTTAATGTAAGCAACTGATAACATGGGAATTAGCTAAGAACAATCTCTCTCTGGTTGGCACATTGGGGGGAAAAACACCGCTCCAAAAATTCTCCCAGAGTTGCTTGTCCACAGATCCAGAAGTGCTTTTAGGTGTGAAGAAGACCTAAATGATTTGTTGGGCAATGATTTTAAGGATTGTTCTGCTTTAATTGATTTGTTGTCTTTGTGCTGTTGTGTTGTTATTATTTTGTAGTTTCATTTTGTAATTTGCATATTCTTTGTAAGCAGATTTAGATATAAATGGGATGTGACTAATAATTATGAATGATAAATACAAATTGCAGAATCCATAGGTACTAAAGTCATGGACATGTAGTTATCAATCATTCGCCAAAGTCAGCTGCCTAAGCCCTAGGACTGAATTCAGCAATAAAACCTCACCAGAAAGTGAAGTCCAGAACCTCAGAGTAGCCATCAGTCAGTCCCTGCTTTCCATAGGACCCAACTCCAGGAGGCCGTGGGTGCTTGGGCACCCACAATAATATAATTGTGGGGGCTGGGCACCCACAAATCAATGAGAAAAGCCGGCAGGCGGCAACGGTGCTGCCTCCAGGAGAGAAGTTGTTCAGTTCCACCCTTTACATCCAGCCAGCAAGGCACCCTTTCCGGGTAGGTGCTCAGATGCAGAGGCAGAGGCATGTGCAGGAGTGTGTGTGTGACGTCACGTGTCCACATTGCGGTAGTGGGCACCCCTGCCCTTCTCTTCCTCTGACAATCTGAATGAAGAGGCAGGTCCATAAGCTTAGCCATGGAAGATGCATCCATAGCATCTCACAGTGGAACTGCTGGGGATACCCAGATCTTTTGTTGTTGAAGTCGCCACTGCATGCTTTCTGACATGTTAGGAGATGTTGCACTTCTGAGCAAATCACTCATGTGAAGAGTTACATATTGGGGCCAATTCATAACGTATGAATAGAGGTTTTAGAGTGTCTACCCTATGCAGCTGTGTGAGATTAAAAAAAGAAAGTGGAATATGGAAATGGGCCTGAAAAAATTACTATACAAGTCATTTCCAGCATTCTTTGTATGCAGCACTTCTGAGTTATAACAAGAGTAACATATACTATATTGAATTTTAATGTTATCATTTTTTATTTTTTATTTAAAAAAAGACAACCACCACCAAACCCTACACATTGACTAGAAATGTTTTCAAACTTTCACTCCCTTTTGATATCAGGAATTGCTTTTCACTGAGTCCTTTGTGTGTTCTGAATGTCTGGAAGCCAAAATATTTTGTTTTAACTCCCACTCTATAGTATTTCCCAGCTGTGTACTTATATGGTGTAATAAAAGGATTTAACAAATGGGAAATAGCAGCTGCATTTGGAAATTCCTTTTGTGCTTGCTCTTCATTTGACAGATTCAGCAATGTGCAACAACTGCCATGTCAGACCTGGAGTGGCTTCCACTTCAAGTATCTCATCTCCATCCTGGTGGATTTTACAGTAGAGAAAATACAAAACAATTGAGTGAGGGTGGAGGATGATCCCATTGCACAGTTGGATATGCTGGCAGTCTGTTTCTATCCTTTGACAGTGGGTGTTGATGCTTATTTTATTGGAAAATATGGAGCTGCATATATATGTAACAATACACGTTTCATTCTTAAAGAATTGTCAGGTTTTATTTATTTAAAATATTTTGTGTCCCTCCTTTCATGCAGATGAAACAATGCAGAGGTTTAAACCTTGCAAATCATGAGAGCTTGGAAGCAGTGTAAGAACTAGGCATATTTTGGGTATGGAAGGCAACTGACGCATGAGAACAGCAAAGTTTTATAAAGTTTTATAGTCAATAATACAGTAATTAGTAACTTATAGTATTATGGCTGTTGCTCATAGAGTCAATGTGGTGATATGCTGTGCATATTGATGTATAAATAAACTGAATGATTGATGAAAGTGCAATACTGTCTCTATTTAGCGGTGGTTGCTCTTATCCTTCCCATTTCTCTAAAGTCATTAGAGAATTTTGGGGGGCAAATAGACAGAAAGGGAAAACACCATATGGGGGAACATGAAATACATGCAAACTTGCAAAGAAGAGAAAATGAAGATAGGTGGGAAAGATTGCTGAAGTGGATGTCTTATCAGCATACAGTGAGGGGGGAAAGTATTTGATCCCCTGCTATATTTGCCCATTTGCCCTCTGACGAAGAAATGACCAGTCCATAATTTTAATGGTAGGTTTATTGTAGCTGTGAGAGACAGAATAACAACAGGAAAACCCCCAGAAACCCAGAAGACAAAAGTCGGAGATTGATGTGCATTATAATGAGTGAAATAAGTATTTGATCCCCTATCAACCAGCCAGATGTCAGGCTACCTGGTATCTTCACTGTATGTAACCAGCTGAGATTAGAAGCACCTGCTGTAAGGGAGAGGTCTTACCTGTAATCCCAGCTTTTTACAGTACCT